GGGTGGTTCACTGCTGGTGTATATGGCCAGCCGTCATCAGATATCATTTTCTGTGACATGCACCGTGCTGAGTGATGTGTCAGTGTATGAGTATATGAGTTGTAGGGCCCCCACAGGGCAGGGACCCTCCCATAGTATGTAGTAGCTGCAGCTCTCCTTCCCGCACTGAGAGCTCATGAATATCCTGAGATTCTGCATACTGGCGGAACGTGGATGCTCCTCCCCCTTCCCACAATGCATTGTGAAGCCGCCCCCCGCTGCGCTCTGATCACTCACCTGTTTACGGTAGAAGTTGCTGTATTTGTCCAGGTGCTGCTCCTTGCATCCTGCCCAGCCCAGAAGAATCACCACCGGCTCCCTCTGCTGGTCCCACCGAGAACCTGCAACACACCATCATCACATTGCCACCTCGAGGTTTATTCCGCTCTATACAACCACATTAATTTCAGTATATTTGTGGTCACTGTGTCAAGGGTCCCTGTCTGCGCACCATTGGGGAGATGATCTTAAACTTCCTGTCACAGAGACACAACAGGAAGTGAGTGTAAATCTCTTAAAACTGAGGGGAAAAATCCACTGAGGCAGCTGTCACCAGAACAGGTGTCCCCATTGAAAGAGTTCCCCTCACTTCCTCTCCTGGTGACAACTGTAACATTTTGGATTCCCCAACACTTCCGGTTCCAGTGGCAGTGGTCACAAGGACAGATACAGACTGTGAATCTCCCCAACGGGGACACAGGCCTGGCAGGGGGGTCCAATCACTCCACACATCATGCAAAAGTCAGATGCAGTTCATTTTAAATGGCACCCACGATGCACTCAGGCAATGCACATGCATCGTGCTGCAATGCGTCACGCTTCATTACAGTGCATTGTGCTAGAGACTCTGCGGCACATCCAGACCTTCCACCAGAGCCGATGGAGATGACACCATGGGAATGGAAGGTCTTCGCTCATACCCCCTTGGTGGAGGATGGAGATGACAGTGAGGGGTTTTCATGAACATAATGTGTCACATGGCGAAGGGGATCCAATAGGAGAGCTCAGAGCCCCCGACCACCCTGCACTGACCAATCAGAATTCCTCTCTCAGCCATGCGAGCTTCAATCTCTCGTTTTTGTCCTGGTGTCACCAAGTGATCGGAATCTAACATGTTACAGTTGTCACCAGAACAGAAATAGAGGAGAAAGCCCCCCAAATGGGGACACCTGTTCTGGTGACAACAGTCTGAGAGGGGATTTTCTTCACTTTGCAGAGATTTTCTCTCACTTCCTGTTGTGTTTTTTGGACAGGAAGTGAAGGGAAATCTCCCCAAAGGGGCATAGAGGGCAAAACAAAAACTTACAGTGGTTTTAACTGTTTCTGTACCTCACTCAGAACTAAATAATGAATTTCTGTCTGCAGATCCACTTTAATCTGACCGAATCCCACTCATATCTCCCACATTGATAGTGCCCCTCTAACAGTCACCCGGTGACGTCACATAAGTGAACCACTGATTACAGTGTATTAGGGCGACGTGACGTCACACACACACAGACGGGGAACCTCACCTGGCAGGCCGGGCTCCGGTAAGAAGATACTGTAGTCGAAGTCGGTTTCCCCCATAGCACCCTCTACTCTGACCCGGGACCGACAGCCGACTTCCCCTCCGCCTCCCGGCCAATCAGAAAGACAGGATCTGATCACCAGATCCGCCAATCCCGCCGAGTCCCTGGATACGGTATCCTAGCAACATGACCGCCGCTTCACCCTGGCCGCACAATGTCCCGCCTCATGGTCGCGCCTCATTGGCTGCTAGCGCTAAGACCCGGGATCCCATTGGCAGGCTGATGTCGGCCCCGGGATCTCATTGGCTGGCGGCATTTCTTGTTGCCTGGAAGTGACTCGGGGCAGGTAAGGCTCTTGGGGTGATGAGGAGTGTGTGGGGTGTCTGTCTGTGTGACAGAGGCGGACAGGGGGAGGACATGCTGCGATCTACAGGCCTCATATCAGCCTGCTGCACCGTTAATGTGTCCTCGCCTTTATTATTAACATTGTATTTTCACAGCTCTATTCTATGTACAGGCGCGGGGGGTGTTATCAAAACTTGAACAGCCAAAATCTGGAGCAGATTTGCTCTACAACCAATCAGCTGTCTCATTTTCAAATATTACATGAGCAAACTGAAGAGAGATGCGGATTAGTTGCCATGGGCAACTGCTCCAAATTCTGTCTGCTCCAGTTTTTATAAACTCCCCCCAGCGTGTCCTTGTATGAAACATGCTGGGATGGTGTACACACTCCATTTATAGATCATCATTGAAGAGACATTTTAATTAAAGTACATATAAGCCTAATTGGATGACAATTACTCTGCTCTGTGCACTTCGCTTTATAAACAACTGTCATTTTTTTTTAGTTAAAATCCCTGTTTTTACTTTTTTCTCTTTTGTTCCATTCTTAGTGCTGCTGATCTCTCCCAGCCGCTTCCTTCCTGTCTACATGCACTCCAGTGACGGCTCCATGGCATTTCTCAGGGCGGGTTTCCTGATGGTGACAACAGTGGGCCATGTCTGTGTAATGTGTGCTGAAATTATCACTTGTAGTCACCATCAGAAGCCCATGTGACAGGGTGACAATGCAAGGGTACAATTGGGAGACAGAGTGTTGTCACCCTAGAACAGGAAGTGCCTGATCAAGGACCTTCACGGCAGGCTCGCCCGGTATTATTATAGAGAAAGCTGCAGATTTGTAGAAATTTGCAATTTGCAGATTGGTGGAAACTGACTAAGAGTCAGGATCAGAGCCGAAAGCCGGCCACACACCTATAGATTATCTGCAGACTTTCTCGGGTCGGATGGAAAAAGTGCAACAGATTCCTCCATCTGCTCTAAACTGTGTGGATGGAGGAATCTCCCGCTGGGCCAAGCTTCAGTATCCTGCTAGTCGGCCCCGCTGGCTCTCATTATACCCTGAACAATGCCGGTGTTCTGTCGAAAGCTCCAACTCATCGAGATCTCCAACTACCTGACTTCCAGTTTAGTAAGAGGTTCGGCCGAGAAGGCTCTACTGCACGTACGCCACCCGCAGCATTTCCCTATACACATACTACAGCGCAATAAAGTAATCAAATAAACTAGGGTTACAGTAGTCCAGCACATTATTCATCTGAGTTGCCCCATTCAATATGGCCGGAAGCCATATTCAGATGAATAATGTGCTGGACTACTGTAACCCTAGTTTATTTGATTACTTTATTGCTCTGTAGTATGTGTATAGGGAAATGCTGCGGGTGGCGTACGTGCAGTAGAGCCTTCTCGGCCGAACCTCTTACTAAACTGGAAGTCAGGTAGTTGGAGATCTCGATGAGTTGGAGCTTTCGACAGAACACCGGCATTGTTCAGGGTATAATGAGAGCCAGCGGGGCCGACTAGCAGGATACTGAAGCTTGGCCCAGCGGGAGATTCCTCCATCCACACAGTTTAGCGCAGATGGAGGAATCTGTTGCACTTTTTCCATCCGACCCGAGAAAGTCTGCAGATGATCTATAGGTGTGTGGCCGGCTTTAGGGTTGGGAACTGGAGGTGAGAGACAGGTGAAAATCAGAGTAAGGGCTGAGAGTCAGAGGAGAGAGTCAGGGCTGAGAGAGGAGAGAGTCAGAGGTGAGAGTCAGGGACTGAGAGTAAGAGGAGAGAGTCAGGGCTGAGAGAGGAGAGAGTCAGAGAAGAGAGTCAGGGACTGAGAGAGGAGAGAGTCAGAGGTGAGAGTCGGGGCTGAGAGTCAGAGGAGAGAGTCATGGGAGAGAGAGCATCAGAAGAGAGTGAGTAAGAGCTGAGAGTGAGGGCCGAGAGAGTCAGAGGTGAGAGACAGAAGTGAGAGTCAGGGACTGAGAGTCCGGGCTGAGAGTCAGAGGAGAGAGTCAGGAGAGAGTCAGAGGTGAGAGTCAGGGACTGAGAGTCGTAGGGAGAGAGTCGGGGCTCAGAGTCAGGGCTGAGAGAAGTGAGAGTCAGGGGAGAGAGTCAGAGGAGAGCGTTAGAGCTGAGAGTCAGGGGAGAGCATCAAAGAAGAGAGAGTAAAAGTGGCCATACACTTTACAACCATCGCAAGACCTTAGTCTTGCGATGGTTGTAACAAAACGTATGATCTGCTCATCTTGGACAGGCAGATCGTACTTGCGATTGAGAGTCAGAGGAGAGAGTCAGAGGAGAGAGTTGGAGGAGAGAGTCAGAGGAGAGAGTTGGAGGAGAGAGCTTTCCATTCATATTCTGGGAAAAGCTATGACCGGTTCTCTTTAAATGATGATATTAATCAAATAAATATTTCCGTTTAAAAGAACATTCCTCTCCAGATCACACCGAGCCGCCATCATGATATCTGGGAAGGAGCAGGAGGCCATCAGTCAGCTCATGGAGTTCTTCAAGGATTGGGATAATGGCAGTAAGGTGACCCGCTGCCGGATCCTCAACAACTTTATCAGCTGTAATCAGGGAAAGACAGCGCCAGAACTGGAGGAGGAATTCTCCCAGGGGGGCAGCCTGTTCCTGGCCCGACTCACAACATGGCTGAGACTGTCGTATCCTAACACTGAACTTAGAGAGGAATCTCAGAATGTATCAATGATTCTCGGTATCTGTCCTTATTCTGTATGTATGGACTCTGCACAGTACCACTTCCCCTGTCCTGTATGCCGGGTGTCATTCTCGGTATCTGTTCTTATTCTGTATGTATGGACTCTGCACAGTACCACTTCCCCTGTCCTGTATGCCGGGTCTCATTCTCGGTATCTGTTCTTATTCTGTATGTATGGACTCTGCACAGTACCACTTCTCTTGTCCTGTATGTCGGGTGTCATTCTCAGTATCTGTTCTTATTGTGTATGTATGGACTCTGCACAGTACCACTTCTCTTGTCCCATATGCCGGGTGTCATTCTCGGTAGCATGTATGGACTCTGCAAAGTGGCGTCTCTGGTTTCCTCAGCCTGTCTCAGATATATGTTCGGGGCGTGTCTGAAGGAGATTTTGATGTCTATCTCCATCTTCCTATCAGCCGCGGGCAGGTAAGTGTTCTTGTGATCTGTATGTTACATTGTATACAACGTGCTGAGTTTATTCACATACATATCACTTATACAGAGCTCTGTAGAGTCACAATGTAGCGCAGAGGGCGGAGCATCACTCGTATAATTCTCCTAGCGAGCCTCTTGCCATTGTGCGGTCTGGTCTATGAATCCTGATCCTCAGTGCTGCAACAGACTCTCTACGTGCCAGTGTTCCCTGGACTCCAGTGCTGCGACTGTCTCGCTTCCCTTGAACCTGCTCACCTTGATCCCCCTAAGTGACTTCTGCTGCTTCCTTTCCCAGTGATCTTGTAGCCTCTGTGGTATTCACTGCTGTCCTGCCTGTATCTCATTTACTCTGATGGCGGTATCTTGGCTGTCCTGCCTGTATCTCATTTCCTCTGAGGGCCGTATCTTGGCTGTCCTGCCTGTATCTTATTTCCTCTGATGGCCGTATCTTGGCTGTCCTGCCTGTATCACGTTTCCTCTGAGGATCATATCTTGGCTGTCCTGCCTGTATCTCATTTCCTCTGAGGGCCGTATCTTGGCTGTCCTGCCTGTATCTTATTTCCTCTGATGGCCGTATCTTGGCTGTCCTGCCTGTATCTTATTTCCTCTGATGGCCGTATCTTGGCTGTCCTGCCTGTATCACGTTTCCTCTGAGGATCATATCTTGGCTGTCCTGCCTGTATCTCATTTCCTCTGAGGGCCGTATCTTGGCTGTCCTGCCTGTATCTTATTTCCTCTGATGGCCGTATCTTGGCTGTCCTGCCTGTATCTCATTTCCTCTGAGGGCCGTATCTTGGCTGTCCTGCCTGTATCTCATTTCCTCTGATGGCCGTATCTTGGCTGTCCTGCCTGTATCTCATTTCCTCTGATGGCCATATCTTGGCTGTCCTGCCGGTATCTCATTTCCTCTGATGGCCATATCTTGGCTGTCCTGCCGGTATCTCATTTCCTCTGATGGCCGTATCTTGGCTGTCCCCCCTGTATCTCATTTCCTCTGATGGTCGTATCTTGGCTGTCCTGCCTGGATCTCATTTCCTCTGAGGGCCATATCTTGGCTGTCCTGCCTGTATCTCATTTCCTCTGATGGCCATATCTTGGCTGTCCTGCCGGTATCTCATTTCCTCTGAGGGCCGTATCTTGGCTGTCCTGCCTGTATCTCATTTCCTCTGATGGCCATATCTTGGCTGTCCTGCCTGTATCTCATTTCCTCTGATGGCCATATCTTGGCTGTCCTGCCGGTATCTCATTTCCTCTGAGGGCCATATCTTGGCTGTCCTGCCTGTATCTCATTTCCTCTGATGGCCGTACCTTAGCCGTCCTACCGGTATATCATTTGTCTCATATTTTTCTCTGCCGGGCAGCGGTCGCTATAAGCTGGAGTTTGTGGAGGTTGGAGGCATCCTGACACTGCTGGAGATTCTGGGATTGAATGAAATAACGGAACCAAATAAGGCGGAGGCTCTGAAAATTCTGCAGATCCTGGGCCGAGCCGGGCGGACATACAAAGAGCTGATCTGTGAGAGCTACGGTGAGTTCCGGAGGGGGGGACCACACACATTACAACCTGATTGTGCAATCTCCTTCAGATTTACCAACAACTCTTTAGTGCAAGGGCTTGCCTGATAGGATCCCGAATAAAATGGTTTGTTCAGGCTCTAAAAAGTTTTGGTAAATGGAAAGGAGATGTCATGCAGATTGTGCGATCAGATTTAAGAGTGAATTAACCGACACATGGCAAGGCCATTCTGGGTAATGTTTGCACTCAAGTCATGTTTTCCCCATACAGGAGTGCGTTCAGTGGCCGAATGTCTCGCCAAGTCTAAGTTAGAAGAGACTCAGGAACAGGCCCGGGTGCTGCTGGAGCTTCTGGCTCATGGGAACCCCAAATACCAAACACAAGTGTATAAGGGACTGATTGCCCTCTTGGCCTGTGAGTCCCCCAAAGCCCAACACCTGACCCTGCAAACACTGCGCATTGTACAGGTAAGTGACATCACACAGGGCTTTAGTTTTGGGTCTCTGCCCCTCCCACAATCGTGAAATTGACCTGAATTATTTGTATCTGTGTCCTTCCCACAATGGTGAGATTTCCTCCAGTAGTTTGTGTCTCTGCCCCTCCCACAATGGTGAGATTTCCCCCAGTAGTTTGTGTCTCTGCCCCTCCCACAATGGTGAGATTTTCTGGCAGTAGTTTGTGTCTCTGCCCCTCCCACAATCGTGAAATTTACCTGAATTATTTGTGTCTGTGTCCCTCCCACAATGGGGAGATTTCCCCCAGTAGTTTGTGTCT